TATAAGACTGCTTATAACAGCTTAACTATATTTTTTCTATCTCTAAAATGCAACTTGTGCTGCAATACTAGATGATGCCAGGTTACACACTATGCACAACATAAGCAGCAATAATGAATGTCTTAAAATAAGGTTTTGACACAGGGTTCCCGAACACAGCCAGGCTTTGAGATGAAGTAATAATGCAGGACCCATCTTGAGCTGCTTATCATCTCAGTTGATACTGGTGGTGCATATACTCAAATTTGCAATAGAATGACCACAGACAATTGATATACAGTCAACCTGTCTTTATCTTGGGTATGTACAATGAATACCCCTTTCATATACACTCACTGGCCAGTGACTATCTACAGTTTGTGTAGAGTTACCTTATGGTGGTGTTAGGGTGATTTTTATTTTATGCACTTAAGAATGGTTTTATTTTATAACACACATAAGTTTACATACTTATGTGTCACAGATATGCTTATATAGTTATGAATATCACCCTACGTGTTCACTGAACCACTGGTCAAATATTTGCTGTGTGAGTCACTGAAACACTAATGCAACATCATAAGTCTTGTCCACTAAATTACTGAATTTCATTAGATTTATGGCTGTAGCTAAGGGGGCTCATAGTTACTTATCGTTCCTCTGGACCGGTGGACCCAAAGGAGTCTTGGTACGGTAAGGCTCCAAGTTTATTAAAATAGATTAGACGTAGATGAGAACGCTTCAAAGGGAGAACAGTTGGGAGAGTTAAGTCTAAACCACGGCTTCTCCCCAACAATTTTGGACCAATTAGATAGTAGCACCTTTTCATACAAATATTGAATACCACTAAGTTGAGGTCAGTCTTTCCTGTTTATCCTAAACAGCGGAGATCCATGTGCACATGCTAATTTTGATACGTTAATGCATAATAAATTTCATACTGTGAAATATATATCCTCTTATTAGTCTTCTCTTTTCAATTTAAAATGAACACGCCTCAACAGTGGTAAGGTATTGTTTGTGGCTTTCTACTGGTATTTGCAATATAGAGCCATGAAGGTCTAAAATCATCTACTTCTTCAGGATTCTAAATTTTTTTTTAAAAGTAAAACTACAAACCAAAATGATCTATATGTTATTCTGGCCAATCCTAAATTTGGCTCCTGATTTAAAATTCAAAAGACTGTCTTAAGATGCCAAAAAAGTAAAATTATTACATGTGTGGAAGTGGAAGTGACAAAATGTGAATGTTTCTGTCAACAGATCATTGTCAGCACAGCTTACCAATGATTCTACAGACATAATATAGAACATATCTGAACGTGCTAAGAAAATTAAATAAATAATACCAGTATTAAACAACTACCAAAAAAGAAAACCAAACCAAAACAAACAGAAAGTCCTTACTCAATCGTAGCACAGAAGGGGGCGCTGATGCAACAAACCTTAATGCTAAGTTCCTACATCGCTTGGAAGAAGTAGAAGAAGAAGAATTCTCCTCCCACTCAACATGGCTGCTTAGCGAGTAGTCCATGCTCGTTTGTTGACATTTATTTGAAAACCAAGCTTATGTTTTAGTATAGAACTTACAAATGCTATAAAAATGTCGAGAATCATCGTTAAAAATCTCCCTAACGGGGTAAGTAGCCCACCGGGAGGTCAGGAGGCAGTTATGCTCGTATTTTGTTTCACTGCCCCTGAAATTGTTGACTGTATATGTTGTGTGCAGATGAAGGAGGAGAGGTTCAGGTCGATGTTTGCTGACTTCGGCACCGTGACAGACTGCTCTCTGAAGTTCACCAAGGACGGAAAGTTCCGCAAATTTGGCTTCGTGGGTTTTAAAACCGAGGAAGATGCCACCAGAGCTCTGAAACATTTCAACAAGAGCTTTGTGGACACATCCAGAGTCACGGTAAGGTTCAGTCTCCATATGTTTTGTTGACATTATTATTTTTCCACTATGCGAAGCTATTTTTCTCATTAATTCTAGGTGGATATGTGTAAAGCATTTGGAGACCCCACTAAAGCAAAAGCTTGGAGTAAGCACACACAGCGCCCCGGGCAGGACAAAACCGCTGCTGCTCCTGACACTGACAGTAAAAAGGTAACGAAGTCTTAGCATTTTCTCCAGAGAAAAATAATAACAAAGCGTATACTCCTATAAAAGCCCACCAAAACACCAATTATGTAAACCTTTTTACAGCACTTAGTCTTTCTATTCTTTCTTGTGGTATATTGTAGTAAAGTTCTGCAGTGCTGTCACTTATTTTGAAAAGTAAAATGTGTCTGTGTCTCCATGTTTCTGCCTTCAGAAGAGGAAACAGGAAACGAAAACCAACAGCACTCTTGGAAGTGTGAGTAAATCTGTCAGCAGCCATTTTTATTTCCTGTTAAATGTTTAAAAACTATAAAAAGAATTCTAAACATATCCTTTAAAACTAATAGGATTTTTTCTAGTTCAAGTGATTTATGTCACAGTGATTTTTTATGTGATGTTTAATCTGCTGGTTCACATCCTTGTCTTGTTTCAGCTGGAAGAGGACCAGGGATTCAAGGAGTTTTTGTCAATACATCAGAATCGAAGCCAAGTACCGACCTGGGCAAATGACACATTGCAACAAACGACTGATCCTGAGAGTGGATTGACAAAGACTCAGGGCAAGAAGAAGCCTGTGTCAGATGATTATCTTAACTTTGATTCAGACCAGTCCGAGGATGAGGATGAGGAAGAAGATTATGATAAAGATGAAGGTTGGTAATGGTGGTGCCTTTTTAGAGTAACTAGATAAAAGCTGTATCCTAATCTAAGGGCTGGAGCCTTTGAGGTTTGGATTTACAGGGTGCTACAAAAAAAATGAAGACAGTTTATACATTTACCATAAACAACGTATATTATCTGTCAGTTATCCATTATGTGTTTGTTTAAGTTCTTCATGAATTATGTGTCTTTACAGTCTAATTTAAGGATTTGCAGTTGGTTCAGTCTGGCCTCCAGATCTTTCAAAGGCCTGTGTTTGTGGGCCATATCATTTGGAGGGTGCATCCCCTGAACTGGGTTTAATATAAGAATTTATTCACAAGATCCTCAGTGCACACACTTTCGGGTTTTCTCGTTTAGGGGTCACCACAGCGGATCGTCACACTGTCGACTTGCATGTTGACATTTGGCATGTGTTTTACGCCGGATGCCCTTCCTGATGCAACCCTGATGCACCTTAACCACTAGCCTACCAGGGACGTCTTCAGTATGCACCGAGAAATAAATATAATTATATACAGCAGCGGTCCCCAACTTTTTTTAGGGACCGGTTTCATGCATGAAAATATTTCCACGGACCAGGTAGAGGCGCGAGGGTTCCAATAACAAAAACTTTTGTCAGTTCATAGTATGTAATCTGAACAATTACACTTTATATTAGGCAATTACAATAATTCTACACTATAATATCAACTCACCATAATGCAGAGTCAGTGGGAGCCCTGGGCTTGTTACCCTGCAACTAGAAAAAAAATTCCAAGGGCTTGTCTTTTAACACAGGGTGTTTTGTCTCAATGTGGCAAAGCATTTTTGAGGGTTTCATGGCTTCATTAGTTTGTCAGTCACCGCAAATTATGCATAGCGGGTGTGGCGCTTGTGTATTACCTGTTGCAGTGAACCTGTACCTTAGGTAGGAATCGTGGTATTTTCTT